AAAATGCTCTGGGGACGATTTGTTTGAGAATTTTTGCGTATTTTGGGGGGCGTTCTTCAACTATCTTCATTTTTTCGCCTGAAATCCCCCCTGTAATTAGGGGGACAGGCCCGACCTAACGGTGGTCATCTCCATCGCTGGCCGGAGGGAGGGGGCACGTGGCACATGGGGCAGTGCGGGGGGCGCGGGGGCCCGAGCGGGCGCCCCCGCAGGGGAGGGGGGATGGGATTAAGTCGGGCATGTCCCCCTACAGGCGAATGTCGGACGAAAAATTTAAAAACACCCCCCAAATCGTCAACCAACAAATATTGAAAAACGACAAACCTACCCCACAAATGCCCAAATGTTGTCCAAAAATCGTCCCCAGACTATTTTTTTACAATTTTTGAGATTCCCCCTATAGAGGGACACGCCCGACTTAAGGGTGGGAGGAGCTCAGGGGACGAGAACCCGTTTCTCTCTGTGATCATTTTCCTTCATGCCACAAGTCAGCTGCGAGCGAGGGGGGGAAGTGAGACGGAGAAGGCCTTCTCAAAGGCGGCGGTACTTCTCAGGAGCCCTCGCACCTTCTGAGAATTGTTCTGTGTCTTCTGGGAAGGTTTAGAACACTTCTCAGAAGGCTGGGGGACTTCCGAGCCTTCTGAGAAGGCCCGCCCCATCTCGTTTCCCCCCTGGGCTCGCCGCCGAACAAGGGGTGTGTGGCACGGAAATTGTTTTGCTTATTCTCGAGCGCGCAACGTTCGCACGTGACGGGTAACGGTAATGATCGCCTGCTTGTGTGGGGGGGGGGGTGGACCCCACCCCACACGTTCATGTTGGTACCCGAAGGCATGTTGTGTTGTTCACATGTATCTTGCGGCTCTAGCATGTTCACCCCGCCCAAGCGTGACCGTTGACAGGAAGAATACCAACACTAACAAACTCAGGGCGGAGGGAGCCGCTCGTCGGTGAAAGCTTGTCGGCTGGGCGATAGTGAAGTCCACGTTCGGTGCGTGCCTGGTCCGGGGGCGGGGGGGCGAGGCGGGGAACGGAAGTCTTTGGACACCCGGGGGGCGATGGATATTGGCAAATGTGGGCCCCAGCGGTCCACATAAGTTGCCGCTTGCCGAGGTGCCCGAATATTGAACCTCCAGGCGGTGGGTATGGATGAATCTCCGCCTCGCAGAGGGGGCGGGTGGTAGAACGGACAGGCACGGGAGGGTGTGGAGGTTGGCAGTGGTCCTTCGTTACCGCCCCCATGACCCTCCCTCCTCCCCTTCCAGAATTACTGAGCATTTCACTTTACGGAAACTGGTCTCCATCCTCCCCCTGAATGTTGTTTAACACATTGGATATCAGGCATGTTTCGCATGTTTTGTATTTATATTTTCTGGTGTTTCAGAATGGAGTTCCCTCTGCACCGAGGCTCTCATGGTGTGATCGGCGTGTTGCTCCCGTCGTTCAGAATGGCCCTCTCGCACCAGCGCGGGCCACTTTGCTGTATCCGAATGCTTCCTCATTGTTGTCGCCCCCCCCCCTTTCCCCTCATCTGTTTTCCCCTCGTCCTCCTGCTCCCACTCCTGCCGTTCCAGTTCCTGATGCTGCAGCTCGTCCTCGCCATCCTTCCTCATCCTTCGTTTCATATTGCACATCTCTCTGCTTATCCGGCTTCCCCTCCTATGTGCGCAGTTGTCCCGATCCGTCTGCGCATAACACAATTGTTTGTTGTGGAGTTCCAGGTCCGCTGTGACACGCGTCCGCGATTGGAGAAACATCAGCGCAACGGGTAGGGATGGGTGGCAGGAGTAAAATGTCAGATATTGCACGAGCGCATCCAGCTAACATGGATAGTATTCTCCCTTCTGCCCTGACGCTGTCCAGAAGATGCCCCGCCCTTTCCGCGCACCGATTTTTACACCATACTTCAAGCATGGGTCTTTCACATGCGGTCGGACATTTTTCGTTGTTTCGAAAAAGTGCTCTCTTTGCAGCGTTGGCCTCATTTCATGGTCGGCATGTTGCTCCCGTCGTTCGGAATAGCGCTCTCGCCATAGCGCGGGCCACCTGTCTGGATCCGAATGCTTCCTTCTTCACCTTCCCCGCCTTCCCCTAGTCCCTCTGTTCCTCCCACTACTTCAGCTCCTGCTGCTGCTGCAGCTCTTCCTCGTTCTCCTCCTCCCTCATCCTCCTCTTCCTCCTGCTCATCCTCCTATTCATCCGCAACATCCAACGCACACAGTTTCGATCCTCTGATTGCGCATGACACCACAGGGGTTCTGTTGGGCATTCTAGGTCCGCTATAACACCCATAGGCGGACAGAGAAGAAACCAGCGCAATGTAAAGGGATGGGCGGAATGATGTCAGATATGGTGTCAGCGCACCTAGCTTGTTATCGTCCCACTCTGCCTCCCCCGTCCAGCCCGAAAGCAGCAATATCGTACCTCGGGGGGCAGTGTGCAGAGCCTCCGCAGGCTTGCAAGCACAATCCTCCGCTTCCTCCTCCCACCTCCACCCACCGTTGCGTGCAGAGGATATTGTTGACCGCTCGGGTCTCGGGGGGATATCTACACGCATGCAGAACAACTGCATTGTCGTTGGTCGGTTTGCCGTCCAGGTCTCGATTCATAGCATGATATTGCCTATTGCAGGTCGGCTCGTGCGGTGTCACCGGTTTGCCTACTGACCTTTTGGTTCGCGATATGGGAGTGTCACCCGTTGTTTTGTGCGTGAAAAAGCATTTCCTCCTAATTTCTCACACTGCCTCCGTCCGTTTCCCTCCCCCCCCATCCTCCCCCCCTGGCAAAGTACATGGGACCCAGGGCACCCACACCTCCGAAGACGCAGTGCAGCGCCTCCGTCCCAAGTCTTGCTCGTGTTCCTGTTCCTGTCAGTGGCAATCTTAGGTGAGGAGAGAGGCTCCTGTGGAGGTGCATCGACCCCGAATCGCCCATGGATCGCCGATAGGGGCTCGATGGCCCACCCCGCCCGGGGATCATTCGGATCCGCTGTCGGGGGCTGATTTACGGCCGATTCCAGGTCGATGTTTCCCCTTGAGCCCCAAGAGGGCCCCCAGAAGCCCAGGGAGGACCCCGGATGTACGCGACGCGAGTGTTCGGGTGGATAGCGAATTGCACATTGCGTAGCTCAGGATGCTCCAGCATGCGGCAGCCAGCTCTTCATCAGCGAGTCCCAGGCAATTTTCTCGGCCAGCCCCACCTGGACAAGAACCCCAACCTTAGTCCCTCCCGACCGATATATCAGCGATGTATGGCCGATTCCAGGTCGATGCTTCCCCCGTGAGCGGGTCTCCCCCCATCGTTGCCCCCCCCCTCGTCTCGCCCTCCAGGAGGAGGAGGAGGAGGAGGAGGAGGAGGAGGAAGGAGGTGGAGGTGGAGGTGGAGGAGGAGGGAGGAGAGAGAGAGGAGGAGGAGGAGGAGGAAGGAGGAGGTGGTGGAGGAGGAGGAGGAGGAGGAGGAGGAGGAGGAGGAGGAGGAGGAGGAGGGAGCATCGCCCAGGCGGAGCCGCCGCCACCGTGGGAGGCGCCGAGCAGGCACGGCGCGCCTGCCCGGGTTCTTGGCCGCTCGGGGCGGACGCAGGGGGTGGTCCCGCAGAGGGGGCTGCTGCGGACACCGGGCAGTCGCGAAACTTCTTGGCGCGCCCATAGGCCTGCAGCAAACATGTTCTAAGAACCTTTTTGTGGTCTGCACGAAATGTTCTTAGAACAGTTCTGGCTGGGGCTGTCTTGTTTTAACGCATCGGGTCTATGTTCTGAGAGCATCGCTTTTGTTCTTAGAAATGTTTGTGTCCTAAGGCCATTTCGTGGTAGGACTATAGGAATGCCGGGACGGTCGGTCCCTGCTCAGAAGGGGTTATGCATGAGGGGCGACGGACGGGGATGGGGAGAAGAGGGAGCAGCAGGGGCAGAGGGGGGGAGGAGGAAAAGGGAGATGTGGAGGGGGGTACGGATCCTGCGGCAGGCAGCGGGCTGTCGGCTCGCCGCCAGGCGCACTGCTCGGTGCAGCGTCGCCCCCAGCGTTTCTGCGGTGGGCGGGGGGTCGTTCTTGCCTTCGCTTCGGGCGGAGGAGGGAGTTTGCCCTCGCTGTTTGGATTTCGTCGTCCGATTGCTTCCCTGAGATCTGGGTATCAGAAATCCATCTTCCACGCGTTGCACCCTGTCTCGTTTCTGCCTCGTCTCGTGGGGCTCCCTGTCTCCGGGTCTATTGATGGCCTCTTGGGTACGTCCTTGCAAATATTTGGGACGGTTGGGGGCTTAATGCCGATCGACCGTCAGCCGAGGCGTCGAAACAATAACATGCTCGGTTTGGAGAGGGCTGGGCGCTCTTGCTTGTTGTTCAGACCCACAACAGAACATGCTCTTCCCCCCTGGGGGCTCCCTTTTGCAGCCAATCCTGGAAGACGAGGGCTGGGCGCTCTTGCTTGTTGTTCAGACCCACGACAGAACATGCTCTTCCCCCCTGGGGGCTCCCGTTTGCAGCCGCTCCTGGCAGGCGGCAGGCACGCTCGTGCTCTATATTTCGGGGAGGGAGGACGAGAAGAGGAATTGGCGCACGGCAGGAGGCGGGATTGGAAAGTCGAGCGCGCTGTTTCCAGGCCCGTTGTCTCCGTGCGCGGCCGCAGGAGAGAGGCAGGCGGCGGTCGAGCAGCGGCGGGGCGCGCCCGTGCGCAGCGGGGCACACTGGGGAGGAGGGCGCGCTGGGACGTGAGGGCGCGACGGAACGCGAGGGAACGCGAGGCCTCGGCATCGCTCGGACGTGTGCATTTTTCCCTCGGCGAGGACCATCGGGGAGCATCCTTGATCATTGGGCGCAAAAGCCACGCGACGGAACGCGAGGCCTCGGCATCGCTCGGACGTGTGCTCTTTCCTTCGGCGAGGACCATCGGGGAGCATCCTTGATCATTGGGCGCAAAAGCCACGCACGAAACCGAAGGAAGCACAGGGAATGGACGTCCGAGCGATGGCCAGAGGAGGCCGGGGGGCGCGGCGGCCACAACCGAGGCTATGAGCGCCTTCGCGGGCGTGCCGAGGTGGCGTTTTTTGATTGGCCTGTCTTCCACCACCACCACCATATAAGTTGGAGGGGTGAAGGCGGTGGAGGATGAGGAGGGGGAAGAAGAGGAGGAGGAAGAGGAGGAGGAGGACCCCCTCCCCCTCCTACTTATGGTGGTGGCGATGGAAAAGAAGCCCACCATTTTTTTACCCATCTCCGCCGTCTCGCGTTTGGTTCAGCAGGCGAGGTCGGTGACCACGCCTGAGGCTGTTTGGCAGCCTCACGTGCTTCGAAAGGGGGACCGCCAGCCAAAGTTTGTGGGGGGCAGGAAGTAGGACTGAGTGGCACCTTAGGGTGAGCGCCGACCTGCTCCGAAACAAACTGAAGCTCGGAGAGGCGAACGCCACGAGGATCCGAACAGGAGGAATCGAATCGAATCGAGCTCTGGGGGCATTAAGTCAGATTGTCCACTCGTGAGAGGCCTGGGCCACTCCTGATACATTCGCATCAGTTTACAACTACAATATGCTTGCTACTCAGCCCTGAGGACTCATCAGGGGACTTTGCAATCCTGCCATGCTGGCAGGAGATCTGCTCTGGCGATCTGCGGCACTCTCGTTTGTGGAAGACTGAGAGGCCGCCTCGCACCTGCATGTCACAGGGTCAACCCCCCGTTAAAAAGTTTTGTCCACCCTCGAACGCCCTCGAAACTGTAGCGAGTAAATGTCTCTGGGCCGTCTTCACACAGCTAAATGTGACCAGGCAATAGGGGCACACATTCGTGTTGACCGCGCGTGTCCATATATCCCTCATACCGTGCTTGGCCATCCTGTGCTGTGTGACCCCCTTGTATGTAATAAAAGTGCATGTGCATACTGTCCCCGTATCATTCCGATACCCACATGTCCACTGAGTAGTGTCTGCATAAATACAGTGGCGTGCGGGTTCAGGAGGTGGTCGTTGAGCAGGGGACCATCCAGGGGGCGGAATAGCACTCATATAAATCCCTCTTCGCAACACCGTGAAATCCTGCATCAAAAACTCGTGTTTCATTTCGTCATCTGTGAACAAGTCCAACCACCCCGTGCGAATTTGACTGCCCAAGAACCCTCCCTCATCATCAAGTCCTCCTACACCCTGCATAATGTCGTCTCGCATCTGTTTCGCCCATGGGTTCGCATCGTCCCGCCGAACAGGAGGAGGAAGGAAGGAGTGAGTGACGCGGGGCGCTGTCTCTTGTGTGCGTCTGCGGGTCCGAGCTGCGCCCCCCCTGCTTGACAGAGAGTGGTGGTCCCCTTCCCGCGAGGGCCTGATGCCATGGCTCCGCCGCCTCGGCCTGCCGCCGCGCGCGCCACGCGTGGCGCGGCGGGCGCGCGCCGGCGGGGCGCGGTCCGCCGCCGCGCCGGTGGATGTGCGTGTGGTCTTCGTCCCGAGGCCAAGCCTCAGATGCTCGTGTTGGGGACCTCCCTGGGGAGCTTCGGGCTCGAGGTTTTTCTGCGGAGGAGGTGGGGGAGGAGGAGGAGGAGGAGGAGGAGGAGGAGGAGGAGGAGGAGGAGGAGGAGGAGGAGGAGGAGGAGGAGGAGGAGGAAGAAGAGAGGAGGAGGAGGAGGGGGAGGAGGAGGAGGAGGAGGAGGAGGAGGAGAATCCGCCGTGGGTGCCCACTGTGCTGGGCCCCCCAGCAGCCCTCGAAAGTGGCGACAGCTTCACAAATCGCAGCCCCCCAAGAGGAGGAGGAAGAGGAGATTCGAGGTTCGAGGAGGAGGAGGCGGAGGAGGAGGAGGAGGGGGACCATCGCAGACCCAGTTCTCTTCCACGATCTTGCAATAAGTAAGCCCTCCCTCCAAGTTCCGTCTTCATAGGCCCGTACGAGGATTGATTGGCACTGAGGGAAGTGCCCCGTGGGAAAACAACCATAGGAAAATCTTGAGTTGTGCCGGAACGCCATTCCTGGGGCTCCAACACCGCAAATCAACGTAATTGTTGCGCCCTGACAGTTCGACATCGTGCCAAAACACCTGTCTGGAACGTTAGCCATGAGAATCCTTGAAGCTGAGGCAAAGTCTTGAAACGAATGTCGCGGCGCTAAGGCGATATCCACATTTTGAAAACGGCCCGCCCTCCATCCGTGAAGCTCCTCGCATTTGTTTCAGAGGAAGGCGGGCGACGCTAATGCGAGAGCCACATTTTGAAATTCACTCGCCTTCCATTCGTGAAGCACCTTGCATTTTTTTGAAGAGGAATGCGCGCGGCGCTAAGGCGAGAGCCACATTTTGACACACTGTGAAAACCACCCGCTCTCCATCCGCGAAGCTCTTGCATTTGTTCAAGGAATGTGCGCGGTGCTAAGGCGAGAGCCTCGTTTAAAACACAGACCGGCTTCCATCCGTGAAGCTCTTGCATATACTCAGCTCCAGGATCACAGGTGCTGAGGAAGTCTCAGGCACAACGCCCGGCCCGCCCTACCGAAGCGCCTTTGGGTGCGACACGAGTTGTTTACGAGGAGAAAGAATGGAGGAGAGTCGGCTCAGGGTGTTCGTTCTCTTCCTGGGCTCTCTACAGTTTTCCAGCCTCGGGAGGCCTTCCAGCGGCTGCGCCTCGCCGAGAGCATTCCGGGGGTGCTCGGATGGTCCCGAACGGTCGCTGGAGGCCCGAGTTATGAACCGAACACCCACCTAAAGGATCTGCTCGACTTCAGCTCAACTCCCGTTCGACTCCAGTTCGGCTCCGGCTCGACTTGAGTTCGACCCAGGTTTAACGCAAGTCGACGCAGCATCGACGCATCTAGCGGAGCGGGTGGCTCGGTAAGAGGCTTCGGGTTGCGCGCAGACCGCTCCCCTCCAGGTAGCCCTAGCTGGCTTCAACAGGCCGCCCGCCCAAGTAGCCCAGGGCGGCCTCAACACTCCAACCCTGGGGCGCGGAGCGCCCCAGGGGCGCCCTCGGAGGCGGCGCCGGGATGTTGAGACCGCCCCGGACTAGTTGGGGGGGCCTGTTGAGGCCAGCTGGGACTACCTGGAGGGGAGCGGTCTGTGAGCAACCTGAAGCTTTCCAGAGTGGTTCCAGGAATCAAGGCAGGACAACCACCCTGACCCCGATAATTGGAATCTGAAGGGCGCTGGGCTTTTCCTGTCCTGCTCGATTTCTTCTATGGGTGCTTTTACTGGACGCCTTTGCTTGTCGGGGTGCTGATTAAGAGGGGAATTGTTTCTACTAGGCGTCCGCCCGCGCGCGCCCTGCCATGTCGTGCATCAACTCCTAAGGATCATATCATCCCAGAAACCTTCGTGAAGGGGTCTACCGAGCTAGGAGAAGATGGGAGAAGATGCGTCGCATGCGTCAGGCTATCTTGCAAGATGCCTCGATGATCTGACCAGAAACATGTAATGAGGGTGCCTTCTCTGCTCTACCTTCGGCATCCGCCCGCCATGTGAGCGCCCTCCCTCCCTCCCCCCGTCCCGCGGCCGCTTCGCCTTCCGTTTCCTCCTCCTGCCGCCAGTGAATTCACGCTGTCCGTTGCCCGCGCCGCTCGAACGCGCGCGCGGATTGCCTCTGCCGCGCTGCGGCGTGAAATGCCCTCTCTTCCTCGGACGGGGCTAGGACGAGGAGAAAAATCCGTTCCAGAGCGTCCCGGAGCGATCCCAAAGCGTTCCGGAACGCTCTGGGCAGGCCGCGGCGTCCGAGACGTCCTCGAGAGCCCGCTTGATCCGGCGGATTCTCGATTTTATTCACCCGATGGTGGCCTCGTACTAGGAATCTAGACTTCTTCGATGGGGTCGGGGTAGATCGGGTCCGAGGATCGCGCCGCATCGCCGATGCATCGGCGATGTGGCTCGAGGCGGAGCCCGATTTGCTTCGCGTCGACGTCGCCGATGAATCGCCGACGTGGACGATGCATCGCGGGTGCATCCACGACGCATCGCCGATGCGGCGCGATCCTCCGACCACATCCACAGTAAACCCGCATAGTAAGGATGGGCAACCTTCCCAAGGGTACCCTGCGTCCTTGCCTCTTCGGTCCATCCTCGGCCACTTTCGTTGGCCACGCCCCGCTCGGAAAGCTTCGGAGTGGGCGTCCAAGGCCCTCGCACCCTTACCGCGCATCCCTACTATGCGGGTTGACTGCACTCCGACCCCATCTAGGAGGCCTCGAAGGGAAGGCCCCCCGAACGCGCCTCTGACCAGCCCGCTGCCCTCCGCGGCCGCAGCGGGGGCCGCGGGGCTGGCGCTCGCGGCGGCGCTGCGCTGGCAGGCCCGCCGGCGCGCGGAGGCGGGCAGGGCCCCGCAGCAGGCGGCGCCGGAGGTCCGCCCGCGGGGCTGGCAGGCGCCAGAGGGCGAAGAGGAGACATCGCCACTCCCAGACGCCCGTGGAGCCACGACGGGACCACGGCGGGAGGTTTTTTTCGCCATCTTCGGCCCCCAGGGCCCCTGGCCTGGGTTCGGGGTCGTCACAAAATCGCTTGGGATGGAGGACCGGTCCCGGGGAACGGGTCGAGGTCTCGGGGGGTCGCCGTGTTGACAAAACTCATGGCGTCGGAGAGCTGGATTCGGGGGTTGCTGAAGGTGCCCCTGGCCCGAGGTGTCCCAAGCTTCTCGCTCCATTTGGGAGCCCCTGGGGCCCTCTGGGCCTCGTGAGGGTGCTCTGGAGGCATGGGCAGCCTCCTCGGGAATCCTGAGGGCACCTTTGGCCAGGGGCACTTCTAGTATCGCAGGCCTAGAGGTTGACACCAACACCAAGATCGGCGGTGTTCCTCCACCGAGGGAAGAAGATCCCGATCTCGGTGATGGTGGTAATATTCTGGCTTCCAAGGTGGCCGAAATATTACCACCAACACCGAAATCTAGGATCGCCTCCCCCCTGTGGAGGCAGCCCTCTGTCTTGGTGTTGGTGCCCATTTTCAGGCCTCCCATCGTAACCCCCGAGCCGTGGGAGGAAGCGGATCCTATCGAAGAGGAGACATCGCCTGCTTCTCGAAAGGCGCAGGCCTTATCGAGAAGGCCCGCGCCTTCCCAGAAGCAGCTTCCTTCCAGGAAGCCACCCCCTCTCCCCCCCCCCTATCGAATTGCGCGCGCCACCGCGCTTCCCTACCCAACCACGCGCCGCGGATCCTGACGTGTTTCGCCTTTTCTGGCTTCCAGGGCCCTCCACGGGCCCCGGGGTATCCCTCCCAGTCGCCGGGCGTCCTTGCCCGCGCTCGGTCTTTCACCCCTCCCTTCCCCCTGGCATTTGGCCGGGGCGGCGGGGCCGGACAGGTGGTGTACAGTGTAAGTCTGGCGTAGCTGGTGTGCCCCAGGGCCGTCAGGAAACAGCCCAGGATGAAGAGTTGGTCCTGGGGAGAGGCCCCAGAGTTCAGGGCCCGTTTCCCTCAGGACTCGCTTCCCCATGTTAAGAAGCACCGGCATGCCCATCGGACGTTGAAGTATCACCGAGCGCGTTCCACTATTCGCAAAGTGCCTACTCGCAAACTTCCGAAAAACACATGTCTGCTCTGATGTAATGTATCGTAGATCCCTCGCGGGGAATCCAGGCCATTTGCGAGTAGTTATTTTGCGAGTAGTAGAACGCGCTCGTCGAAAGTAGGTGTGCCCAAATTCCCAAATTCTGGGTTCCAATCCATTTTGAGCGCTTTTCTGAGACATCGCTGGGGGGGAAAAGGGCCCTGAGGACTCCCGCGTTTGGGCTTCCGGGGGCCCTCCGTCAGAAACCAACTCAGGATGAAGAAGTGGTCCTGGGAGGAGGCCCCAGGGTCCAGATCCCTCAGGACCCCTTCCCCCATGCTGAGAAACATTGACATGCCCATCAGTCGCTGAGAGTAAGTACGCCTGGATTCCCGAATACCAGGCGCCAATCCACTTCAGGCACTTTCCTACCTCGATGATCGATCGGTGGTCCTTTTCCCTGCCTCGTGTTGGGTCGGGCGGGAATCCGACATGGTTTCAACGCCTTCCCACTTCATGTTTCTTCCCACTTCTTCGCCCGATGGACAACTCGTCCGAAACTTTCGGAGCTCCGCACGCCTTTCCTGGATCGACGCTGGGCCCCCCCTGGCGGTGCCTCCAGCGCAGTCCCTGGCGCGCCCCGAGAGGGTGCGGCGCCGATCCAAGAGACTTTCGCGGAGCTCTGCACGTTTACGCTTGCAGGACGCACGGATGGCCTTGGGGTACCCTTGCGTCTTTGCCGTTGCGGCCCGTCCATCGCGGTTTTCACTGGCCAGACCTTCGGGGTGTTAACAATCCGCCGCCCAAAAAGTGCCGACTTCGGCGTCCAAGGCCCTTGTGTCCTTCTCGCCCGTCCTTATCATGGGCTTCGACTGTAAGCCGCTATTTTCTCCTTCCTCTGAGAGGCCTTCTCGCAAGGCCGGCAGGCGCCGACGGAGGCCCCTGGGCAGGCGCCGCCAGAGGCCAGAGGAGGAAGAAAAGTCCTCACCCTCGTCGGGATCAGATCGCGGCGGATTTGGTTTGGCCGTTTCGGCCCCCGGGGGCACTCACCAGGCCCTGGGAGTGTCAGGAAACGACTCAGGAGGGGAGGCCGTTCCCAGGGAAGGGATTCAGACCTCCAGGGGTCCCCGTTCTAAAGAAAACACGGGACGTCAAAGGAAAACGTACCGATGCAGCTCCTTAAGATCCGTTGTCGTTCGGTTGCGGGCGCCGTGGCCATCACAGATAGGTTCGGCTCGAAAAATGCAACAGAAATATTGGTTCTAGGGCTGCGGTCGTGATCCTTCAGCAACGTTGGATCCCAGGGACGGTACCGACACCGCTGCCCGTCTCCACTTGGCCTGGCTGGAGCCTCTTGGGAGGCCATGGTCGCCGCAGAGTCTCTGGGAGGTTCTGGTCCGAACGCACCCTGGGAGAGGTCCCGGGAGCAGCGGTGTCGGAATGTAAGTAGTCGACTGCTCAGGTGTTCCTGTGAGCGGAGTCCGCCGGCTGAGCTGGCCGCGCCACTCGTTCGGGGCGTGACCCGTCCCCCTGAGCGGCTCGCTCCCCCCTCCCCCTCGTTCGGCCGCCTCCTTTGCCTCCCCCCCCCTGCATGGTTGCACAACTCGCTTCACCGGTGTCCCCGTGCTAGCTCTTTCCGCCAGCGCAGACGACCCACGCCACACCGCCGACGTCAACATCCTGTGAGCGGGGTGAATGGCTTGACTGGCTGAGAGGGGGGATGGGGGAGGGCACGCAGCACAGGCAGCAGCGGGAGCTTGAGCCGCCGGAGCCGCTGCCACTTGCCTCGCTGGCCAGAGCCCCGAAAAAGCCACACGTAAACCTTTGCCACCCCAATACCCATCGGTCGTTGAAAGTAGGTATTTGGGGATTCCCAGATTCCAATCTACTTTAAGCGCCTTCCTACTTCGATGATCGAGTGGCTTCACCGTTTCCGTCCTCCTTAGGGGGCGGGTGGAGACCCAATCTATTTCCAACGCCTTCCTACTTCATGTTTCTACCTGCTTCTTCCGGCCGACGGGTACCTGGCCCCGCGGCACCAGGCGTCTTCGCAGCAGGCGCTGCCCGGTGCCGAGCCGGTTCCTCGTGGCGGCGAAGGAGGCGCCGCCGCAGGCCCGCCAGAGGGCCTCGAGCTCGCAGCGGCCGCTGCGCCCTGGCCCGCAGGCTCGGCCGCGGGCCCGGAAGGCAGCGCTGACAGCAGCCGCGAGGCGCCTCGAGCCGCCAGGGCCCGAGCAGGAGGGCCGCCCGGCGCGCCGGCGCCGCGCCAGGGGGGCTCGCCAGAGGCGGCCGCGTGTCCCGCCACAGGCCGCGAGGCCCTCGAGCAGGCCCTTGCGCCGAGGGCTCGGATGGAGGCCGCGCTGGCCGCCGCCGCTGCGGACCCGGCACCCGTCGCGGCGGCTCTGGCAGGGCGGCAGGGCCGCGCACGCCTGGAGGCCATGGCAGAAGCTCGAAGAAGAACACGCGGCATGAACAGAAACTTTTGGCGCTCCGCGCGGATTTCTTGGATCCGCGCTGGGCCCCCCCCGGCGGCGCCTCCAGCGCCGCCCCTGGCGCGCTTCGCGCGCCAGGGAGGGGGGCCCAGCGCGGATCCAAGAAATCCGCGCGGAGCGCCAAAAGTTTATGTGTATGGCGTTTTCTCCTTCTCTTAGAAGCGCAGGCCGCGTTCGGCCTGGACCGCCAGCGGGCAGGGCCGGAGACCACGGGCGGCACGGGAGGCGCACTGGCGGCCGGGCGCGCGGCGCTCGCCCGCGAGGCGGCCCAGGCTGCTCGCCCCTGGGGCGCCGCGGGTGCGGCGCGCGGCCTGCTGGTGGAGGACTGTGCCGCCGCCGCCGCTGCAGCGGCCGCGGCGGCCACGGCGGAGGCCCTCCGCCCCTCGGCCGCCAGGCTGGCGCGCGCGGTGGCGGTCTCGTGCCAGCTGCTGGGCGCGGAGCTGGGCGCGGCGGCACAGGCAGCCGAGGCGCGGAGGCTCGCCGCCACGGGCGCGCTGCACGAGGCCACGCTGGCGAGCTTTCGGCAGCGGGGGCCGCAGGTGCTGAAGGAGCAGAGGGCGGCACTGGAGCAGGAGCTGCAGCAGAGGCGCGGGCAGGTTCTGGAGCGGGCGCTGGAGGATGTGCGGGAGTACGGCACAACGGAGCAGCAGGCGCTGCAGGAGACAGCAAGGCAGACCCTGGCGGAGAGGCTCAAGGGGACCCGGGACGGCCTCTCCGAGAGGCTGGCCGTGTTGGAGGCTGCCGTGGCTCGGCTGGCAGACGTCGAGGCGACGGGCCAGCTCGGCGAACGCTCGTGTGGGAGCATCTGTTCCGCGGTGCTCGCAGCACGGGGGAGCTCGGAAGAGAAACAGATACTGGTGCCACTGCTGCTACCCTTCCCTCGCCGCCATGGCCGGATTCGCCCCGGCGATTCTGGGCAGAGCGCACCTCTGGAGAGAGGTCCAGGGAGCTGCAGTATCGGCACGCTGCTGTCCCCCCCTGCACAGGAACCCCGCACAGCAGGGCCTCGGCGGCCGCGGGTGCGCCGTTGCAGACAACTTCGCGCGTGCTCTGCTGGACCAGGCTTCGAGGCGGGGAGTTGTCCATGTCCACCGCCCAGGGGATCCAGCTTCGGGGGCCTCGGCGGGCGGCGGATGTGGGTAGATTCGGGCCCTGGAGGGGCCATATATGCACACACCGATAATGAGGGTCGACGATTTACAAGTACCCCCCTTGGGGGACCGCCTTCCTTTTGTTTAGGGTGCACGAACGAAATATCGAGGGCCTGACCTGATTCCAATCGTCCTTCCCAGGTCCCCCCACCCATTGTGCAACAGTTACAAGGAAGTAGTCGTGTCCTTTTGGATTTCTTGGTCATAGGAGGAGGAGGAGGAGGAGGAGGAGGAGGAGGAGGAGGAGGAGGAGGAGAAGGAGGAGGAGCAGGAGGAGGAGGATGAGGAAGAACGCCACAATCCTAGTGTTCAGGTTTGGCCAACGTCAAGGAGGAGGAGGAGGAGGAGGAGGAGGACGAGGAGAAGGAAGATGGGAGGAGGGGGAGGAGGGGGAGGATGGGGAGGAGTGGGAGGAGAGAGGGGATGAGGAGAAGGGGGAGGGGGAAAAGGATGCGGAATAGGACGATGAGGAAAAACATTGGGGAGGGGAGGAGGAGGAGGAGGAGGAGGAGGAGGAGGAGGAGGAGGAGGAGGAGGAGGAGGAGGAGGAGGAGGAGGAGGAGCAGGAGGAGCACGAGGAGGAGGGGCGGAAGAGGGGGGAGAGCGAGCGCGGCGGCGCCGCCAGGGCGAAGAAGGCAGCCAACGGTTGCTGCTTGAGCCCGTTCCCGACGTCGGCGACGGCGACGGCCACCGCGCCCGTTTGTTTTCTTCGCCGCGTCCCAGCATGAGCAGGGGCCCGCATTACAGAGCGGTGCGCCGCGCCGCCCCCCCGCCTTTTCGTCACCGCGCCCTACCAGGAACGCGCCGTCCCCCCCTCCCCCTTGTTTGCTTCGTCGGGTGCTACCAGGAATGAGCCCGCATTGCAGGGGGGGGCGCGCCGTGTCCCCCGCCCCCCCCCTGCGCCTTGCCGTGTCCTAGCAGGAGCAGGACAGCACTGCAAGGGGGGCGCACCGCGCCCCCCTTCCTTGCCCCGCCGCGCCCTCGTAGGAGTGGGGCAAACACTGCGCGGGGGCGCGCCGCGCCTTCTCCCTCTGCTGCGTCGCGCCCCCGCAGGAGCCGGCTCGCACAGTCAGGGGGCGCGCCGCTCCCCCCCCGCCGCCGCTTGCTTCGCCGCGCCCCAACAGGAACAGGCCCGCGTTGCAGGAGGGCGCGCCGGGGTGCCACCCCCGCTCGCTTCGCGGCGTTTTCTGGCGAGGGTGCCTGCATTGCACGCGGTCGCGCTGCGCCCTCCCCTTTTGCCTCGCCGCGTCCCAGCAGGGGCCGCATTGCAGAGGGGCGCGCCGCGCCCCAGCAGGAATAGGTTCGCATTGCAGGGGGAGGGGGGGGCGTGCCGCGCCCCCCCCCCCTCTTTTGTTTCCCCGCGTCCCAACAGGAACAGGCACGCATCTCAGAGCGCCCCGCGCCCCCTCCCTTTGCACCGCCGCCTCCTAGTAGGAATGGGCCTGCATTGCAAGGGGGGCTTGCCACCCCCCCCTTCTTGCTGCGCTGCGTCCCAGCAGGTGCAAGCCAGCATTGCAGGGGCGCGTGCCGCGCCCCCCACCTGTGCCTCGCCGCGTCTCAGCAGGAGCTGGGCCGCATTGGGAGGGGGGCGCGCCGCCCCCCTTCCGTTTTCGCAGAGCCCTACCTGGAATGGGCCAGCATTACGAAGCGGGGGCGCGCCGCTCCCCCCCATTCTGCTTGCTTCGTGTCGCCTTAGGCCAGCATTGCAGGGGCGGGGGGGGGGGGCGGGGGGGGCGGCCGCGCGCGGCGCCCTCCCCGTGTTTGTTGCGCCGCGCCTTTGCAGGAGAAGGCCAGCATTGCATGGGCGCGCGCCGCGCCACCCCGTTTGCTTCGCTGCTTCCCAGCAGGAGCAGGGCAGCATTGCAGGGGGGCGCGTTAAGTCCCCCTCATCCCCCCCGCCTTTGCTTCGCCGCGTCCTAGCAGGACTGGGCTACCATTCCAGGCTGGCGCGCCGCGCCCCTTCGCTCCCCCCGCCTCGTCCATGGCGTCCCGGAAGGACGAAGTCCGCACTGCAAGGAGGCGCGCCGCGCCCCCCCGCCCCCCGCTTGCTTTGCCGCGCCCAAGCATGAGCACGCGCGCATTGCAGGGGGGCGCGCCGCGCCGCCACCCCGTGCATCGCCGACTCCTGCCAGGAATCGGCTTGCATTGCAGAGGAACGCCCCGCGCCCCTCACTCCTCATTCCTCCTCCTCCTCCTCCTCCTCCTCCTCCTCCTCCTCCTCCTCCCTCCTCCTCCTCCTCCTCCTCCTCCTCCTCCTCCTCCTCCTCCTTTTCCTCCTCCTCCTCTACCTCCTTTCCTTTCCTCCTCCATCCTGTGGCCCCCCTCTAAGGAGGAGCCGCGAGGAGTGAGTAGAAGGAGGAGGAGGAGGAAGAGGAAGAGGAGAAGTGAATGGTTGGGGGGCGGGGGGAATTGGGAGTGGAACGAGGAAGCGGGCACTTTGTAGCATTGGAATGGTGGAGAGCGTAAGTATTGAAATATGTTATGTCGTTGATTTTTCAGTAGCTGTTGTTGTGTTTCAGGCCTGGGTGTGAAGTGTATCTGGTGTTTGTTGTGTTGCCTTGTCTGCTGTTTTCCACCGCCCACATAGAGGCACCTATGGGTCCTCCATACGTGGGAACAAGGTTGTACCCCCCCCCCCGCAGAAGAAGCCGATGCGCACCCGCCCCACAGGAGAAAGAACGGAAGTAGGAGGTGGAGCATCAGGAGAAGGAGTGGGAACTAGAAACAAGAGGATGATGAGCAGAAGGAAGTGCAGGAGGCCGGTGAAAAGGATGTTTTTTTTCCCTTCACCATCGCCTGCTTCTCATCCATTCTCTATCTGTGGCTCCCCCGCCGAGGCCCCGAAGCTCGACCCCCCAGGCGGTGGCTATGGACAAGCCCCCGCCTCGCTGAGAGGTCCCTGCCCTCGCAGGCGACTCCACGCCCTGCGCGGTGCCGTGCAGCCCCTTCGAGGGGTTCCCGGAGCGCGCGGCCTCCCTGGCGGCCGCCGCCCTGGCCCCCCCTGGCGGCGGCGGCGCTGCCGCGCTGGTGGTAGCAAAACAAAAAAACATACAAAGACACACACATAGACGTTGAATTCCGATAGGAGGGAAAGAGGGCCATCCAGAAATTACCATGCAATGTACCCAATCCGTGTGCATTAAATGACACGAAGAACGGGTCCCAAATAGTATGGCTGCTGATAACACAGGATTTGTCATTGGTTGTGCAAACGGCATGGGGAACGCGCGCATTGCACGCCTCACAGGATAGCAGCAGAAGGACGAGGACTGACGCCCAAGGCTCGAAGAGGGAATGGGGGTGGGAACGAGGGCAGGAAATGGACGCAAGAGGGGATGAAACGTGTGAGACGGTGGAAGGAGGAAGGGGACGAAAACGAAAGAGGCAGGACGAGGAAGGAGGGCGCCGATCATTTCGCAGCGGCGCGCTGAACAGGCAGGGCGGCCCGCGCCACGTCGTTCTGGTGCTACCGAGGATCAGCTGCTCATAGAAAGCGTTAGAAGCACGCGAGGCCGAACTCGCCCGCCAGGTTCTCCGTTTCTTTCCTGCACGCTGCAACGCGTGAGCCAAGCGCCCGCAGGGGCGACGCCAGATCTTCGGGCGGCCCGCGGGGAAGAAACTCAAGCGAATCACAGTCCGCGCAGGACGTCGCTATGCTGCACCCACCAGCAGCCTTAGAAAGTGGCAACAGTTTCGCAGATCGGAAAGAGCGTGTTCTGCCGCTGCTGGCGAAAAACCAGGGGGGAATCAATGGGGGTTCCCAACCCGTCCCCCCACTTTCCCAAACCGGGGGGGGGTCACTACCGGTTCGAACCCCCTCCTCACCCCCCCGTCCATCCTGAAAAGGGGAGGGGGAGGTCCTTACCAGTTCGAACCCCCCCCCTTCGCGGTTGGCAAACGATTTTCGCTCCTCGGGACAATTGGACAGTGGTGGGGACGGGGGTGGTGGGGACAGCGGAGTGCACAGGGACAGTGGGACAATGGCGGGGACAGTGCGACAGTGGTGGGGACAGTGGCGAGGGGACAGCAGGACAGTGGCGGGGACAGTGGGGACAGTGGGACTGTGGTGGGGACGGTAGTGGTGGGGATAATGATGAAGGCGGTGGTGAGGACCGTGGTGGGACAGTGGTACAGTGGGGAAAGTGGTGGGGACAGTGCGGACAGTGGGACAGTGGCGCGGACAGTGGGGACGGTGGGACAGCACAGTGGGACAGCGGCGGGGACATCGGGACAGTGGGGCAGTGGTGGGAACAGTGGGGACAGTGGGACAGTGGTGGGGACAGTGGGGACAGAGGGACAGTGGGACAGTGGTGGGGACGGTGGTGGTGGGGACAGCGGAAAGGGCGGTGGTGAGGACGGTGGTGGGACAGTGGGACAGGGGCACAGTGGTGACAGTGGTGGGGACAGTGGTGGGGACAGTGGGACAGGTCAGTGGGACAGCGGCGGGGGCAGTGGGACAATGGGGACAGTGGAGACACTGAGGACAGTGGTGGGGACCGTGGGAAAGGTGGTGGTGGGAATAGTGGTGGGCATAGTGGGGACAGTGCGACAGTGGTGGGGCACTGGTGGGGACAGTGGGGACGGTGGTGGGAAAAGTGGGAACTGGTGGTGTGGACGGCGGTGCTGGGGACAGCGGTGGGGGATGTGGTGCGGACGGTTGTGGGGATTCGGGAGTCGTTTGCCGGCGGTGAGGGGGGGGAGTTCGGATCGGCAGTGACCCCCCAAGTTTGGGGGGCGGGGGGGAAGTAGGGGTTCGAGCCGGTAGTGATACCCTGTGGTTTTCGGGAGGGGCCCGAGGGGGGGCTTCGAGCCGGTAGGGACCCCCCCGGCTTTCCGCTGTGAGCGGGAATTTTTTGCCAGCCGCGAGGGTGGGCCGATCGCGGCCTCGAGGGATGGCGAGGTCACATAGGACGGCGAGGTAGGAGGCAGGCTGGCATGCAGGACCGGAGGGGCAGGGTGGCAGGCAAACCAATAGACGGCGTGAGAGGAAGGAAATAGGAGAGGAGAGGAGAAGTGTGCAACCTCAGTGCTCTATTCAAAACGAGAACCCAACGCAGGAGGGGTGGGACATATTGCATTCCGCTGCAACGTACCGAACCCACGTGCATAAAATGACAAGAGGCGTCGGCCCAAATATGCATGGGCAGCGACAGCGCAGGCGCCGTCAACTGTTGCGAAATATACGCGGTATACGCGCGCGTCGCGCGATTCACGGTACAGCGATAATTGAACAAGGACTGAGGCCTCTCAGGCTTGGGGAAGAAAGAGGGCAGGAACGAAGGGCAGGAAAAGGACGGAAGGGGAACCGAAAAGCTAAACCGGCAATAGCAGGGACACGGACGACGAAAATGGCGGAATGAAAGGAGATGACCTTTTCCTCTCAAGTGGCATGCTGGACAAACGGCGCTGCGCGCTACGTCTCTTTGGAACTCCAAAGGAACAGTCGTTCATCGCAGTGCACGCGGCGAGCGATACCCAGCTCGCCCGCCAGTTTCCCCTCCTCCGTCCTGCACCCTTCAGTGGGGGATTTACGCGTTCGCTGGCGTTCCGCAAGGTCTGCGGGCGGCCCGCACGAAACGACATCCGGGCCAGGGTCGCGCATCATCAGCATGGTGTCCACCGCCGTCGCCCTGGAGAGCAGCGTCGAAAATGACTCCGCAGGGCATGGCCTGGCTCTGACAGGCCGCGGACGTCATTCCGCTGGACCCGAGCCTTCGAAAGTGGAGGCGTTTTCACAAATCGCAGCCTCCCAGGGATGGCGTCACTCGTTGGGCGGCACTGCTGCTTCCGATCGCGGCGACAGTTTCGCAGATCGCAGCCCCCCAAGGATGGCGATAATCATTCTGAATTAGCGTAGCGCGTCACCCCGCTTGACCCCGCAACAGCATTCGAAAGTGGCGATGCAGGATCCGGTTTGGATAAAGAACACTTACTTTTCAAAAGGGGCTCGGTCGTTCCTGTGGTTTGCATGCGTTCCGCTATCTTTTTGGCGTTCCTGGTGTTCCTTCAGATGTTGGGCGCGCGGGTTCGTTTCGTCGACGAGCGCGGCTGGTCTAAGGAACGGGGCTCCAAGAGTGGTTCGACGCGCTGAAAGTAGGAAAACGCGTGAATTCCGAACATCCGACCATGTATGTGTATGTCGTTCCTTCTGAAACGGCAAAGAAAACGCAACGCGCCGCGCAGCTGCAACTATACCTCGCCACCTCGAAGGGGCTGCGATCTGCGAGATGGTCGACGCGTTCGGGGATTCGCTGGGGAGTCCAGCGGGGTGATGCGCTACGCTGACTCAACATAAACATCGCCATCCCCAGGGGGCTGCGACCTGCTAGACGGTCGGCACTTCAAGGGCGGTTGGGAATCCAGCGGAGTGACGCGCTACGCAGATCCAGACTATGCATCCCTTTCTCTGGGGGCTGCGATGTGCGAAACTACAGAGTCCCGCCTGACCTAAGGACGATAAATAAGGAATGAAGCTTCGTTTTTTGTTCCAAGTCTGTCTACGAAGTCCGAGATAACGGCCGAGCCCCTTTTCTAGCGCCGTTCCGCTACGATTTGCTTTTGCGATTCGACCCCGTCCCTGCTGCCAAACTACCAAGGAACGCCCGCCCCCTCCTCCCCGGCCGCTCCAACATCGCACGCAGAAGCGCAGCCTGCGAACGACACGTTAGGAACGCCGCGGGTCGGGCTAGGCACTGGGCCATAACGCGGCCGTTTTCCGATTCGGTTCCGCTCGTGAGCACCCACTCGCGCCGCGCAAGGAACGCCAGGGGCTCGCGTGGGGGCCCCTCCTCCTCCCACCCCTCCTCCTCCTCCTCCTCCTCCTCCTCCTCCTCCTCCTCTTCCTCCTCCTCCTCCTCTTCCTCCTCGTCCTCCACCTTCGCCTCCCCCTGCTCCGCCACCTTCTCCTCCTCCTCCTCCTCCTCCTCCTTTTCCTCCCTTCCCCTTCTCCTCGTCCTCCTCCTCCGGCTCCTCTTCCGGCTTCTCTTCTCTTCTCTTCTCTTCTCTTCTCTTCTCTTCTCTTCTCTTCTCTTCTCTCCTCCTCCTCCTCCTCCTCCTCTTCCTCCTCCTCTTGCTCCTCTTCCTGCTCTTGCTGCTGCTGCTGCTGCTGCTGCTGCTGCTGCTGCTGCTGCTGCTCCCCCCCCCTCCTCGCCCTGCGCGGCGGGGCTGGGCGCGGGGGCGGGCGCGGAGCAGGAGGAGAAGGAGGCGGAGGAGGAGGAGGAGGAGGAGGAGGAGGAGGAGCAGGAGGAGAAGGAGGAGGAGGAAGGAGGAGAATTTGGGGAATAAGGAGGAGAATCAGGAGATGGGAGGAGAAGGAGGAGGAGCAGGAGGAGGACGGAATTGAGGGCGGGAGGAGAATGAGGAGGGAGGAAATCATGAGGAGGGAGGGTGGGTATCAGGAGGAGGAGGAGGAGAGAGGGAGGATATCAAGAGGAGAAGGGAGGGAGGAAAGGAGGGTGGGAGGTAGGGTATCATGAGGATATCAGGAAGAGATAGGGAGGAGGGAGGGAGGGAGGGGGGGGCACCAGGAGAAGGGAGGGATAATGAGGAGGATGAGAAGAAGGGGAGGAGGAGGAGGAGGAGGGGGAGAAGGAGGAGGGAGGAGGAGGAGGAGGAAGAGGAGGAGGAGGAGGGGGGCAGGAAATGGAGTGGAAGACCAGATGAAGGCAGGAGCAGGATGAGGATGATGATGAGGAGGAGGAGGAGGAGGTGAGGGGAGGATGATGACTATGAGTCTGAGAAGGCGAGGGGGGGGGGCGGCGGTGTCGAGCAGGGCGCACATGAATTCCTTTTGGCGAACGTGCACTTGAAGTACAGGGCGGCGAAGCGCGACCTTCACGGTGGTGGAGAGGCTTACAAACGGTTGTGGGACTGTCTCGCGCGCTACCTGGCAGAGCTTCGCCCTGCAATCTTCTGCGGGGGTTTCACCGTGGCGCTCTTCTGCGTGATGCCTGAACTGCGAGCCCGAGGCTTTCATGTCAATCTGGCAGCGTGGCACTGATTGAAACAGTAGCACGAAACAAAAAAGTCCGAGCGGACTCGTGCGCCATCTTTCGCTCGGGACCGTGCTCCGGAATTCGGTTCTGTTACTGCATGTCCGTGCTCGGGTTTGATGGCCCCGACCTGCCTGATAACTGTTTCATGATGACGGGGACTCTGTTCGATGAGAACCAAAAAGAGATCGGGTAGCGCCCCTGCCCCATCCAGATCATCCCGTCATTGGGCCAGGGGTTCCCGCTCCACAGCGACCGCCCGGAAGTGCAAGCGCGCAAGGAACAGCGCGCGAAGTGGACTTTGACGCCTGTCTTCGATGAAGCTTCATCCGCGGCGGCGGCGGTTTTGAGAAGCGCTTCGGCCGACAAGACCATGTCCCCTTTCCGAGTTGACCCGTCCATAGGGTCCGCTTCGCTATGCCATGCAAGGAGAAGGGGCGTGAGCACCAGCCCGGCGAAGGTGCGAACAGCCGCGGGAGCGGCGAGCAAGGCAGATCTTTCCACGGCGAGGGCGGGACGCGGGGCGGCAAGGATCGAGAATGGTGAGGCGACCAGGATGGAACCTGGAGCGCCTGGCAGGGGCGGCAACCGGGGCGATGTTGAATGATCATTTCTGGGCGCCCGCGGTAGCGGAGGGCAGGCGCCGGCGCGTTGCTGAGCACTGTGCATGCGCTGCGCAAGAAAGGAAATGGAGAGAGGCGATCAGAAAAAGGAGAGAAAGCTTAAGAAAAAGGAGAGAGGGCTTAGCGACAACCTTGTCGCAGGGGTTGGTTGTCATTGAAAGGGTTCCAGCGACTACCTAGTCGCAGGGGTTGGTTGTCAGGCGTTTCGTTTTATTTCTTGTTTCACTTTATCCCGACAACCAGATCATCGCTTCACTCGCGCCCTGGACGTCAGCACGTCGCCACGCAGTGCGAAACTACACGCGGGTGACGCGCGCCGCCCCGACAACCGCGCGAACAAAACCATTTGTTTCATGCGCACGCTGGGCGACAACATGGGGCCACAAACTGCGAGGCAACGCGCGGGCGACGCGCGTGCCCGAACGCCGCGCGAGAACAAGAAATCAAGCGTTTCACTCGCGGCCCGGGCGCCAACATTGGGCCACCCAGCGCGAAACAAAACGCGGGCGACGCGCGTCGCCCCCGCAAACCGCGCGAGAAAAAAACAATTCGTGCATCCGTATTCTGGACGCCAACACGGGGACATGCAGTGTGAAACAACGCGCCGGTGACGCGTGTCACCTCGAAATCCCCGTGAGAATCACCCATTGTTTCATTCGCATCCTGGGCGACAGCTCGGGGCCGCGCAGCGCGACGCAACGCGCGGGTGACGCGGATCACCCCGAAGTCCGCGCGAGACAACCACCTGTCCCACTCGTGTTTTCGGCGCCGACATGGGGCCGCACAGTGCGAGACAACGCGCGGTCGACGCGCGCCACCCCGAACAACGCGCAAGCAAAACCACTTCTTCCATGCGCATGCTGGGCGGCAACACGGGGCCGCGCAACGCGAAGCAACGCGCGGGCGACGCGCGCCGCCCCGGGAACCGGAAACAAAAAAAACAAAAAAAACAAAAAACACGGCTTCGCTCGCGCCAGCCGGGGGGGCACACAGCGTAAAACAACGCGCGGGCGGCGCGCGCCGCCTCGAAAACCGCGCGGGAAAACCAAGCGGTGCCACTCGTATTCTGGGCGCCTACATGGGCCCATGCAGCGTGGAGAAACACGCGGGCGACGCGCGCCACCCCGAACGCCGCGCGAGAAAAACAACATTATTCCACTTGCGTTCTGGACGCCAGCACGGGGCCACACAGCGCAAGAAAAACATGCGGGTGGACGCGTGCCACCCCGAAAACCGAGCGGGGATAACCATTCGTTCCGCTCGCATTTTGCACGCCAACATGGGGCACTGCAGTGCGAGGCGGCGCGCGGGCGACGCGCGTCTGCCCGAACACCGCGCGTGAGAAGGAGAGGAACAAGTTTCTTTCGTAGTCTGGGCGCCACTATGGAGCCATACAGCGCGACACAACACGGGTGGCACGCGTCGCCCCCGCAAGCCGCGCTAGAGAAAACATTTGATTCATTCGTATTCTTGACGCCAATACGGGGCCACGCAGTGCGCTGCAACGCGCGGGTGGCGCGCGTCACCCCGAAGACCGCGCGAGAAAAATCAATTGGTTCACGCGTGGTCTGGGCGCCGACATGGGGCCATCCAGTGCGAAGAAACGCGCGGGTGACACGCGTCGCCCCGAAAACCGCGCGAGAATCACCCACTGCTTCATTCGTATCTATGACGCCCAAATGGGGCCATGCAGGGCGAAGCATTTCACGGGTAAAAACCGCGCGAGAGCCACCCATTTGTTTCATTCGCATGCTGGGCGGCAACATGGGGCCACGCGGCGTGCAACAGCGCGCGGGAGACGCGTGTCACCCCGAAGGCCGCTTGAGAAGCAGCCACTGTTCCACTCGCATTCTGGGCGCCACCATGGGGTCATGCAGCGCGAAGCAGCGCGCGGGTGACAAGCGTTGCCCCGAAAGCCGCGTGAGAAACAACAGTTGCGTCACTCGCAATCTGAGCGCCAGCACGGGGCCAGACGGTGCGAAACAACACGCGGGTGGCACGTGTCACCCCGAAAACCGTGCGATGAAAAACAATTGTTCCACTCGTAGTCTAGACGCCAACATGGCGTCATACAGCGTGAAGAATCCCGCGGGTGAGCCGCGACACACCGAAAACCGCGCCACCGCCACCCATCGTTTCATTCGCATTCTGAGCAACAACATGGGGCCGCACAGTGTGAAACAGCATACAGGTGACACGTGTCACCGCGAAATCGGTGCGAACAGACAGCAATTATGTCATTCGTATTCGTGACGCCGGCATGGGGCCATACAGCGTGCAACAGCACGCGGGTGACAAGCGTCACCCCGAAAACCGCGTGAGAGCAACCACATCTTCCGCTCGTATTCTGGGCGCCAACATGGGGTCAGACAGTGCAAGGAAACACGCGGGTGACACGTATCACACCGTCCCGCGCGAGAAAAAACAATTGTTTTGCGCGTGGTCTGGGCGCCAATATGGGGTCACACAATGCGAAGAAACCCGCGGGCGACACGTGTCACCAAGCGAACCGCGTGAGAAACAAACATGTTTCGTTCGTATGCTGGACGCCAGCATGGGGCCATACAGCGCGAAACAACACATGGTCGACGCGTGTCACCCCGCAGACCACGTGGGAAACAACAGTTGTTTCACTTGTGTTCTGGACGCCAACACGGGATCATACAATGTGAAGCACCACACGGGTGACACGTGTCACCCCGAAAGAAGCGTTAGCAGAACCCATTGTTTCGTCGTATTGTGGGCGACGACGTGGGGCCATACAGTGTGAACAAACACACGGTGACACCCCGAAACCCGCGTGAGGAAACACATGTTTCATTCGCATGTTGAACGCCAGTATGGGGCCATACAGCGCGAAGAAACACATGGGTGACACGTCTCACCCCGAAAACCGTGTGAGAAAACACACTGTTCCACTCGCATTCTGAACGCCAACATGGGGTCATCCAGCGTGAAGCAACACACGGGTGACGCGTGTCACCCCAAACGACGTGTGAAAATCAGACATTGTTTCACGTGTATGTTGGGCGACAATATGGGGCCATCCACCCTGAAACAACACGCGGGTGACACGTGTCACCCCGAAGACCGTGTGAGAAAAACATGTGTTCCGTTCGTATGCTTGACGCCAACACCTCCTCCTCTTCCTCCTCCTCCTCCTCCTCCTCCTCCTCCTCCTCCTCCTCCTCTCCTCCTCTCCTCCTCCTCCTCCGCCTCCTCCCCTTCCTCCTCTCCTCCTCCTCCTCCTCCTCCTCCTCCTCCTCCTCCTCGTCCTCCCCCCCTCCCCCTCCTCCTCCTCCTCCTCCTCCTCCTCCTCCTCCTCCTCCTCCTCCTCCTCCTCCTCGGGCCAGCGAGCTCCGACCCGCGCGGCCTAAGGAACGGGAGGTACTCATGCGAGGGACTGGACCTGAAGGCCCCTGCCTTGGCACGCGGATAAGGGCGAAAGCTCCAACGCGCGTCCCAAAAGGAACGGAGGGGTTCGAGAGAGGCGACGGGCTTGTGCGCGACCGCCGTCGCACTACGTCGAACAAGCGCAAGGAACCGAGCCCTTCTTGGAGCCCCGTTCCTTAGACCAGCCGCCCTCATCGACGAAACGAACCCGCGCGTCCAAAATCTGAAGGAACGCCAGGAGGGCTCGCCGCCAGGTAATTAGCGGAACACATGCAAAACAAAGGAACGAACGAGCCTGTTCTGAAAAGTAAGTATTATTTCTTCAAGCTAGCCGGATCTTGTTGTTTCGCAGATCGCAGCCCCCAGAAACGGGATGCATAGTCTGGATCTGCGTAGCGCGTCACTCCGCTGGACTCCCAACCGCCCTTGAACTGCCGACCGTTTTGCAGGTCGCAGCCCCCCGGGATCGCGAAGTTTATTTAGAATCAGCGTAGCGCATCACTCCGCTGGACTCCCCAGCAAATCCCCGAAAGTGTCGACAATTTCGCAGATCGCAGCCTCTTCGGGGTGGCGAGGTTTAGTTGCATCTGCGTGGCGCGTCACACTTTTTCTTTGGCCCTTTCAGAAGAAACGACATAAGCATAAATGTCTGGATTTTCGGAGTTCCGAGCGTTTTCCTACTCCAGTGATCGAGTGGTTCGCCCCGCTTGCTTTCACTCTATCGTCGGGGGAGGGCCGAAATCCAGCATAGTTTCAGCTTCATCCTATTGTTCCCATTATTTCCGACCGATGGGTAATCCGAAACTTTCGGAACACCGCGCAGTTTCTTGGATCTGTGCTGGACCCGTCTGGCGCGGCCCCTGGCGCGCTCCGCTCCACGGAGGGGTCCCGGCGCTGATCCAACAAATCCGCGCGGAAGTCCGAAACATTCTGTTCATGCCGACGTTTCTTCCTTTAGGTGGGCTTCCTCTTCGCCCGCGCCGTCGTCTTGGGCGCGGACCGCGGGCTTGGCGCCGAGGCGAACGACGAGCGCCCCCCTGCGCAGGGTTTCAGAGGAGGCGAAGGTACCGATACCGCTACCCTCTCGTCGTTTTCGCATGTTGGGGCCTCTTGAAAGGCCCTCGTCGCCACGGCCACATTCGCTCCAAGATTATGATCAGAACGCACCCCCATCCAGATATGTCCAGGGAACAGCCGCGTAAGACCCGTTTCCTGTAGCGGCTTTGCGCGAGATGATATAGCGACCTTACGCGGTGGTTTACGCAGGCCGCCAGCGCGGCACGCCCCATGGGAAACAACGGCACGTACGCGCGACTTTGCGCGGGCAGCTCAAGCGTGCAGGTGTCGGCTCAGACGACCTGTTTTTTTTTCGTCGCTCTCATGAGCCTCTTTGAGCCGACCCCTATCCCCGCTGACGTGGCCTTGGCCCAGTGGCCGCCCTACGCACCAGGACGGAGGTGCATGCCTGATCCTTCGGGCTTCGCGAGGCCTACCCCCCCTGGGAGGGCGGGCTGATTGGGCTGAGATGTCATGAGTCATGGCCCCGTTGGTCACCACCCACCGAACCACCCCAACCCAACCCGAAGGCCCCAATTTGTCCTCCATTTTCAGTGGGGAGGGGGCGTCGGGGAGCATGGACAAAGACACAAATGGAACCCGCCCGCCCCCCCCCCCCGAACCTGAGATGTAGATCTTCGAGTTGGGTAGGTGGTCAGTTGGGACGGGGAAAACACAAGGGTACCAGGGAAAGCAAAAGGGTACCGATAGCGCACTGAGGCGAACGACGAGCGGCCCTGCTCAGAGGCGCGCCGGAACCTGGCCGCGCTCTCGGGCGCGGGCACCCTGGCGGCGCGGGGCCAGGCCGCGGAGGCGCTGCTTCTGCTCGAGGGCGGCCTCGCCGGAGAGTGCCGCGCCGCGGCGCGGGAGTGGATGGCGGAGGCTTCTGTCGGCCACGCGCAGAGGGGGGCAGGAGGGGGGGAAGGCTTCTCAGCACGCCTGCTTCGTAGAAGGCGCGGGCCTCGTCTCCAGGTCTAAGGCCCGCGCCCTCGAAGCCTTCCCCCCTACCCCTACTCCCCTCTGCGCGCTGCCAAGGTTCGGCGACGACGAAAGTGGAAGAACAGAAGGCGGCAAAAACATAAACTGTCGGAGTTCCGCGCGGATTTCTTGGATCCGCGTTGGCGCGCCAGAGAGAGGGGGCACGGCGTAGATCCAAAACATCCGCTTGGACCGTCGACTGTATAGGTTTATGCAGTTTTTTGTTCCTCTAGGGGGGAAGAGGTGCGGCAACTGCAAAAAGAGTGTGATTACGCTGGGGTGTGGTTTGCGATCGACGCCGTTGGGGCTTAGGGGGCCACCACGTTGCGCCTTCGTCTGGGCGCGGCGGATTATGGATCCGAACTTTCTCCACGCCGACGGCGCCGATGCATCGCCGACGTCGCCGGTGTATCGCCGATGCATTGGCCATGCATCATCTATGCGGCGCGATCCTCCGACCCCATCTACTCCGACCCCATCCGGGAGGTCTCTAGGAATGTGCCCAGGAGGCCTCAGATCCTGGATGATTCCTGATCTGACGAGGGCAGCGGTGGTGTCGAAGACGCCTACGGCGACTCAACGCCGCCCCCTGCCCTTGTGGAAGCGCCTATGTGGCCGACAGCTGGGCTAGAGCTTTTCCACGCTATCGGGCCAGTTGTTCCCCGAGTCGGTTTGGACAGCTTTCGGGGAACGCGTGGGGGAGCAGGAGGGTTGAAATCTCCCATGTGTCCGAGCGTTGTGGCAAGAACTCTGCCAAGCTATCGGGCCATATGTTCACGGCGAGAAAGATCAGGAGGAGGAGGAGGAGGAGGAGGAGGAGATGGAGGAGGAGATGGAGGAGGAGGAGGAGGAGGAGGAGGAGGAGGAGGGAGCCTCTCGGGGCACTCTTGGGGCCTCCTGGGAGCTTCCTGGGAGCCTCTTGGAGGCATCTTGGGGGCCTCCTTGGGCCTCTTGGGGCCTTTTGGGGCTTCTCGGGAGCTTCTTTGGCCGTCTCAGGGCATTCCTGACCCGTCCGACGTCGGAAGCCGTCTTGGGGGCTTCTCTGGGCCGACTTGAAACCGTCTTGGGGTGCTCCAGGGCCGTGGCCATCTTGGGCGTCTTGGAGGCCTCCTGGGCCGTCTGGGGGACCTCTTGGGGCGAGGCCTTTTGGGCTGTTCTGGGTTGGGCCGTCCTGGAGGCCTCTTGGGCGATCTTTCGGGGCTCTTGGGCCGTTTCGGGCCGTCCCGAGAAGAAGCAAATGCCAAAATCCTTCAAACACCTAGGAACCAATTACTGATTTGGGCATCTTCGGGCCTTCCTGGAGGCCCTCTTGGATGCCTCTTGGGCCGTCTTGGAGGCCCCTTAGGGGCCTCTTGGGGCGTCTTGGGCCATCTCTTGGGCCGTCTTGGTGGGCTCCCCTGGCCCGTCGGACACCTCCGGACGCTGTCTTGGTGGCCTCTCTGGGCCGACTGGTGGCCCTCTTGGGGTGCTCCAGGGCCGTCTTGGAAGCCATCTTGGGCCGTCTTGGAGGCCTCTTGAACCGTCTTGGGGCCCTCCCAGGGCGGTCTTGGGGGCCTCTTGGTGCCATCTTCGAGGCATCTTTGGCGATCGTGGGGCGATCTTTGGGGGCTCTTGGGCTGTCTCGGGCCGTTGGAAGACCGAAAAGAAGCAAAAGCTAAAATCCTTCAAAAACCTATGGCAAATCAATGATTTTGGCCTCGTCGGGCCTTCCTGGAGGCTCTCTTGGAGGCCTCTTGGGGGCCTCCTGGGCCCTCTTGGACAGTTTTTGAGGCTTCCTTGGTGGACTTGGAGGCATCTTGAGCCCTCTTGGGCCGTCTTGGAGGCCATCTTGGATCATCTTGGAGGCCATCTTGGGCCAACGTCGCCATGTTGGAGGCCATCTTCAGACGTGTTGGAGGATTTTGTTGCGGACGTTGAGGTTGTTTCCGGGCCTTCCGCGGGGCCGGCGGGACGGGCCGAAGTCCCACAGGGAAGTTCTTCTGAAAAAGAACCACAACCAGAAACACGAATTCTAGACACTTCGCTTAACCCCACCAGTTAGCATGTATGCGAAGCCGACGACCAAGAAAACAGCACCTCTGACTCCGACCCTCCCTTGGCCCCTCGCTGGTCCCCTCCCCCAGAACGGGCCCGCCCATTCAGGAGACACACTGACCTCCCAGCGGCCCAATACACGAGGCCAACGCCTTCGTAGAGGAAGTGGGAAGGATCAGAAGCATGGTTGCCACCAGCAGCATGCCCCCTGGGTGCACATGGAGTCGTATCCTGGTCCCCTTCATTGGGGAATCGGCTTCCGACAACGGCAGGAACGCCTTGACCGCAGCCTGTCAAGAGGTCAACCTGGACCTGACAATCCTCAACGTTGCCAGGGACGGTTGAGCCACGAGGGGCGCTAGGACCGCAGAAGAGGCTCGCAGGGTCATCGAGCATATACGCTCGCAGGACAACCTACAAGGACCCACGAACTTGGGTGACTACCTCGCCCCCAAGCTACAGGAATGCCTAATGGAGATACTCGACACATCCAACGCCCTCCAGACCCAAATACTCTCCAGGAACAGGGAGGCGGTAAGACGAGGGGAGCTAACCAGGGTGGCGAGGGCCAGCCACCCTTACCCATCCCACCACCCTCCCGCCGCGCGCGGCTCAGCCCCTCCCCCACGTTCATGGGAGGCCTCACACGTCGAGCAAAGTGGCCCCATGCCCACGAGCGGCCCAGCCTGCGACCTTCAGCCGCAGCAGGCCCACACCAGCGACGACTGGCTCAAGGACCGCATCGTCCAACACCTCGACATGGCCCAGAAAGACGCCGAGGCATCTGGCATCCGGCCCCCCCCCAGCATCGGACCGCAGTTCCATCAACGGCGACGCCGCGCAGAGGGTGGTCAGGCAGATCCGGTGCGGCGAATTCCCACCGGCAAGGATACACGAGGCGATCTCCTTTGCCATCTGGTTATGCCTCAGCCCCCACTTCACCCCACTACTAGAACCCGTCCTCCAGGTTCGAAGCATCACACCACGTCCCTGCCAGGTCCTCGCGAAATTGCTGCGGGTCGCCAACATTCACACGCCTGCCTGTCTGCGAGACATAGGCAGCCACCCGGGAGCCCTCACACCCTACGAACCTTTCAGCCGGGAACAACTTCGGACCATCATACAGCACCTCGGGCTCCTGGCGTCGGCTACCGCGCAAGAGGCCTGCATCGCCGCAAGGGCAGTGGCGGGCGCCCTCGAGAGAGCCCTACGGAATGCCAGCCCTCCCTTACCAGACGGGGGCAACGAAAACCAAGCTGCCCACCCAGCGGAGGGCAGCATCTACATACCCCCATGGGATGTCGCGCCGCAGGAAATAATGTTCGTTATCTGCCACTCCTCTTTGGAAGATGCCGCCCACGCCCTCATCCCCTGCGGGCACCTTTTGCACCGAGACTGCATCGACCTGTGGAGGCATCATCAGCCAGCGGTGTTCCGAGCGGGCAGTCTATCGATGCCCACTAGATTCCCACAATGCCGAGTAGACGACAGAGGCGCCCTCGAGGTCACACTAAACCCCAATAGCGCGGCAGCTGCGGACATCTCCGAGCCTGGCAGGGTCCCAGCCAGAGATGGGGAGATCGCGCAACTCTCCCCTCCCCCCTCATACACTGAGATGGCGGCTACCATGCAGGAAGTCGGACCACAACTCGAAGAAATGCACGCCCAGCTCCTCACCACCGGCAGACCAGACACCTACCTCACCACCAGCGACATGAGGGACTTGCACAACCACATCAGAGCACGGAGAAGAGATGCAGCACCACCAGCAGACCCCATGGAGGTAGACAGTAGGGAAAATGGGGATGCCCCTCCCGCAGCAGCTCCACCGGCCAACCCCAGCCCACAATCCCGTCAGAACACGCAGCACCCCCCCCCCACCCAAAGACCCCACCGTCCCCCCGAATCCCCCCAGCCACCCCCCCCTCGCAAGGCAGCCGACCCGGGCGCCCCACGTTCCATACCTGAATGATAGTCGCAGCGGCCAGGACGGCAGGAGCGGACCTCATCATCTCCGCCAGAGCGCACGTAGGGGACACCATCGCCGACGACGCCCCTGCAACCTTCGCCATCTCCGGCCCCAACGCATAGGAGATGATCTGGAGTCTGGTGTTACAACACCGCGAAAACCAGCGGAACGACTTGGGGCGCCCCCCCGCCATCCTCTTTATATACGCTGGAGCCAGCCAGGTGGACGCAGCGTTTGAAGCAGCCAGCGCGGCTGGTTGCCACCCTGCTCGCGCTCGCCGCAGAAGGAGTCCCCACTCCGGGGTGGCCAGATCCCATAGAACTCACCACCATCGCATGCGCCCACTGGGGCACCAGAGCAGCCGGAAGGATCGCGCATCTTGTCCCGGTCGGAGCGCCCTACCAGACAGGTCGTGCTTCCCCCCCGCTAATGCAACTGGTCGCCGCCCAGTTCGAAATAACAGAGCGACCCCCTCCGACTGGCGCCCCCACCAGCCGTAGTCGTGAAATGGGGCGGGCCACAGGCAGACGACGGAGACGCTCTGCACGTTCTGGTTCCGCAGACAGCGAATGAGGCTGTCGTGGATGGAGAAGAGACGTCGAGGCCAACAGCCACGCGCACGTTCAGTGGAGCACCACCAAGATAGCCCTCCCCAACAATCCCAACCTTCTCAACACCGAACTGGAACCACTGCTTCATCATGCCATACGACTCAACCACGCACTTCCCGAGCAGAGGAACGTCCCCCACCGCTCCCCTTTGAACGCCCTTCAGGCTTTCATACTATGGGCGATAGTCGCCGCCCCCCGCATGCACCTGGTGGATGCAGGAGTCCAGCGCCTCGGTACTTGTCCCCATGTCTGCTCAGGCCATCCCCCTAGCCCACCACATCACGGCCCTGGCAGCGCGGTCCATGGGATGCCGGGTCGGAGTGTGCAACGCGAGGCTTCTATTGCTACAAGCGTCTGAGAGAATCGCCGCCCCAATCATATGACACCTTCGAGACAACGCCCTCTGCGTTCTAGGACACGAAAGAGAACGCGCCGCTACGTCCCCACGGAGGATACTCATGGAAGGCCCATGGAATGGATGCCCAGCGTTCATCCAGATGGCCGACCCAGAACCGGGCTTCCACCTTCGTTGGAACCTGGCCGATCTAGGGCAGCTACCACCAGCGAGGGTGGTCGCCGCCGTCGAAGCCACCGCAGGCTCCGGCTCCGCCGTTCAAGTTTCCTCAGTTTTCGCGTGGTTTCCAGACGCAGAGGAGTACCAGCAAATGACACAGGTCCGAGTTGTAGCGCAAGCGGCCGACATCATGGCCGCAGCCTATACAGGCACCAGCTGCATAGATGTGGGTGCCCAGTCCGCAAGAATATTCCCGGCCACCCCCACTAGAGACCCCGAGCACACACTACCGAATACCATACCCCTGCACAGGTCCGAGCCCACTTGGACGAGGTCGCCCGAGCTGAGGTACGGAGAACCCCCAGAGCGGCCTCGCACCCCCAGATAGTTGAGGCAAACGCCCGGGACGCCTCTGGAAACGCCGTAGGCGACCTCCGAGCCAGACACCTGCCTCCCGACACATGGCTCCCAGGACACCAGGCTCTGCGGCTCTTCTCGGCGCCGGGGCTGTAGGAGCCCGCGCCTGTACGCGGGTCTGGCCCCTGCCGCCTGGCGCCCCCAGCGTCGGTCAACCAGCACCGCCTCCCCTCACAGCGGAGTGGATAGCCAGCCACTTCGAAGGATTCAGACAGGACGCTGCCGGAGTGGACAGCCCACAACCATTGGATGACGCGTGCCACCCATTTAAACGGCCTCCGAGACGTTGACCTGACCCTTTACCCGGGCGAAAACACGATTACTGCCATCGCCGCCGGAGGAGCCATCGACATCCAGATTGACGGAGAGACCGCTGTGCTGCACACCACCCTGCCCCACATGGGTCACCGGCGCACTACCGGCCGGCTCCAACCTGCGGGCTGCCAACCGCGGAGAGGGGCGGCCACGCATCCGCCTTCGAATGCAGCTAGTCAGCGGGAGCGCCTGCGTGGCCAGGCGGCCCACGCGTCAGACCGCCGTTCCCTCCCCAGCCGACGTCGGCCTCACTGCGGCGCGGACCGGACCAGTCCCCCTCCCACCCAGAACCTCCACCCACCCGGAGCCGGGGCCAGCAAGACCCGCGCGCTTGCCCAACCTCAGCGAGACGCTTCTACGCGTTAACCGCCTGCTCCCGGGCACGGACCTGGGGGGCGGCCCAGCCCCCCCCCCCAGAGATGCTCTTGCCGCCGCCCAGGGGGTGCTGGGAAGATACGCCCAATGCCTCACTACTGCGCAAATCAACCAGCTCGCTAGGGGCATTCTGGCCCGAATTGACTACGAAATTGACAGAGAGAGCCAGGGGAGACCTATTGCACGATACAACTGGGATAGGTTTACAGCCATCTGGATCCTGCAATTCGCGAACCCCACGCGTCTGGACCGAGACCACGTATACCAACTCATCGGATAGCTTGGCATCCAGGAGGACGTCCTCTGGCAACTTCCCTTCGCCCAACGGCTGGCCCCCCAAACTGACCCCGCCCACACTGCACACACATGCCAGACGGAAGTACCTGGATGTTGTGGGTCAAAGCTGGAAGGGGGCACTTCTCTCACCTTCGAGCTTGAGACCGACCGCCTCCTTCTGGCGTTACAAGAACGAGCTACGCAAGGACATCGGGACGACTGGCTAAGGGCCGACCCAGGCAGACGCCCCAGGGCCCCAGGGCGTCTGTAAGAAGCCGATCGACCCGACCAGGACCCAGCCCTCCCCCTCGGCCAACACGCCCCTTCCCTCGCCCGCTGCGACATCCCTCCCAGGAGAAACGACTAGCCTTAACGGAGAACACGAAGCAGCGGGACAGCCGGTCCGAGCCAACTCAGCTGCTCCCACCACCCCGCCTGCCTTGATCCCGACCGCCCCACCCGCAGGACACGGCCCACCCCCCCCTCACGCCTGCCCGGGGAGGCCACCTCCCCCATCGGAGGCAAATCCCAGCGCTGCCGCCGCCGCTCCCGCCGACAGCGCAAGCGTGGACCCAGGCGCCGGCACCAACACACCTAGAGACCACAGGCGCTGCCGCGGGGGCCCCCCGCGTCCACCTCCCGACTCAGTCCCCGTCCGCTCTGCAGGAGACCCACTCGCTCGAGGAGACACGCCCCCCGCGGGCACATCTCTCCCGGCCTGCACGGAAAGGGAGTGCGACTCCGCCCTCAGACGAACAGCAGCCACCCTTGCAAACGCGGCCGCGACCCCGGAGGCAGCACTGGCCGCGCAGCTGCGGGACCCGGCGAACATGAGCGGGTGGCAGCAGCTATTGAGCGACGTAGCGCGGTGCACCAGCCTTCCTCAGATCAACGACCGTCTCCGACGCGTGTTTGCCAGCCACCACGCCCCAGTCCAGCTGCCGATCCTGTTCGAAAGGTTCTGGAATCGACGACCACCTCCTGGCTACCAGACATGCCGCCAACTCGCTCGACGCGGCATGCGCGGATCTGCGTGCGATCTCTTCGCAAACAGGGGAGTCAGATCGAGCGCCCTTTGCCCCTTTCTTCCCACTATATTGCAACCTCCTAAACCAGATGGCGGCAGCGGGCGCAGGAGACAACCCTTCGGCGCCGCCGCGACAGGAGCTAATACCCCAGCTCGCACCAGCCAGCAGGCTCATACGGTCCACCCTTGAAGATATCACTTCCACGGAACCGCGCCCGACACCCCATCTACCAGCCAGCCAGTCATCATCTGTCCCTCCAGGCGGGCGCAACCTGCAGGACACCAACCACGCCGTCGCAACCCCCCCCTCCGACACCCCCAGCTCCCCCCCGCAGCGGAGCACGCAACCACGCGTTTAACCGGCTCTGAGACCTGAATTTTTGTTCAAGGTTCTTTCATCCAATGCCCTCACCGATCGCTGACGTTTCCCCTCCGGGCGATGCAATTTTTCACATCCAGCGTTTTCGCCCAGTTTCGGGCGCAGGGACCGTCAAAGATCGATCCGGCTCGACAACTGCAGCAGAAGGATGGGGTCCATGGTTCCGTTCATGATTTGTTGCTTGGTTTTCATGTTCCGCATGGACCGATCTAAGGGGATATCTCCTTGGAGGCCCTCGTCGCCAAGGTGGGATTCGCCTCGAGGTTCTGGTCTGGACGCACCCTTGGAATATGATGCAATTCCAGAAGTCAAAATTCTGAATAAGCAGTCGTAAAATGGCCTAATCCGGCTCAGTCCGGTTACATCCCCCGCAATGCGATTCAATCCCGCGTGATCATGGGCCTAATCGAGCTCAGTCCAGCTTAGTGGCCCCGCAGCCTTGCCCCATGATCTCTCAGTCGCTGTTGCGAAAAACTCGCGGCACAGTTACGGTATCGGTTCCTTTTGATTTCGCCAGAGGCGCGCCGCTCGCTGGAGGCGCAGCAAGCCCTCAGGGCCCTGCTCGCGCGGGCGCGCTGCCTCGGCCGCGCCGATGGCCACGCCGATGGGCCACGCGATGGTAGCCTGCACCTGCGCCGGACTCGGCCGCTGGCTCCTGTCGGGTATAGCCAGGACCCCAAGCAAGGGGACCCGGTTAGTGGTAGGGCACCGGAGCCCCTAAATTGGCCAGAGTCACTAAACCAGGTCTGCCGTATCTGGTGTTTTTCGGGTGACGGCAATTCCGGTTCGTGGAACGGGGCGGGGGGGCGTCTTCTGGTACACATCACTAAACCAGGTCCCACTAAACCCAGTTCTGCCAACGCCCGATCCTGGCGGCCTGGGCTTTTGCCACAGAGTGGCCCAGAGGAGGCTCGGACGGTGCGGTGACCGCAGCGCTTGGGGATTCCAGTCAGTAAGTATTCGGGGTGGCCACGCGGTTTCGGAACTTGGGTCGTTCTCCGAGGATGTCTCGGGCGGCTGGGGCCTCCGTGGTCGCAAGCCCGCGCGGCAACAAACGGTGCGGTGAGGTCTTCGAGGATTTCGAGATCGCCGCGCGGCCTGTCACCGCACCGTCTTGCGCCCCCGAGAGGCAGACCCGGCCCGGGGTGGCCTCAAAGTGGGCAATTCATTTTCCGCATGCTTGATTTTGGGTAAACATACGTACGCTGCACCCCGCAATTGTAGATAAGTGTAAGGTGGCGGCCGCGGGGTAGGTCGCGGGAGGGTCACGGGTGTGTCGCGGGTGTGTCGCGAGGTGGGTCGCGGGGTGGATCGCGGGATGTGTCGCGGGGTGGATAGCGGGTGGGTCGCGGACGGGACGACGACGACGACAATAACAGCGCAGACAACGAATCAACGACCCGCACAGCGGAACCCCACGTTAGCCACGCGCCCAGGACAATGAATGACCGATCGCCTTTTTTCACTCTAATCTATATATATATATATATATATATATATCTACAGATACATATGTATGTCTACATGTACAGACGTATGTATTCATATTTGTGCACATACATACATACATGCATACATACAGTCACAGGCAGACTTTCTCTCGGGCTCCCACGTCGCTGGAGCGCCCCCCAGCCACCCCTCGAGGGCGCGCCCCAGCCGCGCCTGGGGGACAAGGGCCATGAAGCGGAACACCGCGAGTCTCGTGTGGTGAAACGGCCCAGCTGCATCTGGGGCCCCAGCCGGATTGCACCTGTGCGATCGCGGGGGCTTCAGAAAATTGCACGCGCCTGGTCGCGAGTCACAGACCACGAGCCAGGCACGCCAGGGGAGCGAGAGAGAGAGAAAGAGATGGAGAAGACACAGAGATAATAACAAAACATATGAAAACGAAGAAGAAGAAGAAGAAGAGCAGCGGTTCACCCCAAACCTCCTCGGCCCCGGCTCACGGACAGAGAGACAGACAGACAGACAGACAGACAGACAGACAGACAGACAGACAGACAGACAGACAGACAGAAAGACAGACAGACAGACAGACAGACAGACATGTGTATATATACAGCGAAAAAACATCAGGGATGGTTTCCAGACAGTGTAGTGCGTTCAGGGCCAGCCGCTCTTGGTGGACAGCATCATATGTCCCAGTACGCAACTGCCCTCCTTACAGGCTTTGTCCCCAGCCTTCTGGATCGTTTCGCGGGGGCGTCCGACTGTCCCGTGCTGACCCGGGCCGCTGGCGGCGTCTGGGGCATCCTCGGCAGAAGGTTTGGGCTGGGGCTCATCGTCGGGTGGCTTTTAGCTGCTGCTGCCGAGCGGGTGCTATGCCTGCCGTCCTTGGGCTGCGCGCTGGATCTCGGCTGGCGGTGAAGTGGGATCGGGCCGACGCCTGGCAGATCCGGACCGCCGTCAGCGAGGCCACCACCGCCGAGGTCAGCAGCGATCTCGGATTCACAGCGACGACGGATCAGAAGAGTCAGGGTCGCCTCTTGAAGTGCATGACACCAAACCTGGACGCGCGCGGTCACTTGCTCGACTCGCCCCCGCTGGTCGGTCTAGCCATGATCGGCGAGATGGGCCAAGTGGTGGCCCGCAGCAACAAAAGAGCGCTCTGGAGGTCGACAAGCCGTACCTACGGGAGCGAGTGGAGCCCAAGTCTCCTGGAGTTCTGCGACGCAGCGCCGTGTTTCGCCGGCTCATGGGGAAGCATGCGGGCCCGGCAGCACCTGGGGCCCTGGCTTCAGTGATTCCGACGGAGGTATTGTCTTCGACGGGGGCCGACGTCTCGCCGAAGTTTTGGAGAGCGGTGGAGCGGTGGCTACGTCGGGCATTGCTCCTCCAGGGCACGTGCTCAAGGACGGCTCGGCCAGCCGTTCTGGCTCAGGCGTTGATTCCTGAGCTTGCAGCAGCAGTCTTCAGAGCGGCAGTCGCTGCTGTGAGCCTCGTTTCCAACTTTCAGTTAGTGGGATCTCAACCCACGCACGTCCATCTCTCCGAGCCTGCGGGCTCTCATGGCCGATGGAGGCGCCGAGGTCCTGCCTGGACCGAGGGTGCCGACGTGGGCGTGCTCATGCGGACGCAACGCCAACTGGGCGTCCAGGATCATTTGCAAGTGTGGGAAGAAGGCACCGCCAGAGGTGCGCCGTGCAGCAGAGCTTCATGCGCGCGGCCAGCAGCATCGCCCTCGCGCTGGCCTTTCTCGCGTGGGTGGGGGCAGTCGCGACGACAAGCTCCAGGAGCGGCTGGATGAGCTCCAGCGCAAGTTCGACAAGTTGGCAGGAGGCGGGAGCCAAGCTCCAGCGCTTTCGGCCAACCACCACGCCAAGGACCCGCCGGAGGATTCCAAGGAGCAGGAGCTGCGTGACAGTATCAAGCAGCTCGAGGTGCCAATCACGCACTGCGAGGAGCTCGGCGAGTCTGACAAGAGTGCCATGGCTGAGCTTGAGGTCAAGCTTGAGGCTGTGCGTCGTGAGCTTCGCCAGACCAAGCCCCAGCTCACGCGACATACGAATGCGGGGCATCGCTTCGCACGTGCTAAAGACAAGAAGCAAAGACTTGAGAATCAGATTGAAGAGCCGATACTTTTCATTGCAAATGCTCAAGAAAAGATCGATGGCATGCGGGCTCAAGTTGCAGTTACGGATCGCGAGATTGAGCTCCTCAACAGAGAACTCGTCCGCACTCTGCCTGGCGTGCTTGTTGTGGATCTGGAGATCGACCCTGAGGCGCTGGCTGCTTCGAGCGAGCAAGCACAGATCAAGAAGATGCTGCAGTCCGATACGCCCAAGAAGCTCGCGGAGTTGCTTGCGGCCTCTCAGGCGAAGGCGACGCCCGCAGCATCGGCGCCGTCGCCCGTCGCGACAGAGGGTGCTGACGCTCCTGGCCACGACGGTTCGCCTAGTGCTGCACCTGACGGAAGTGGGGTTGGCGCGGGCGAGGCACAGCGTCAACCGACTCCAGGATTCGAGCGCGATGACGACCTCGACGAAGACATGGCCGACGAGATCTTCCACGCAGCCATTCGGATCGACAAGCGAGAGTTCATCGAGCAGTTCGGTAGCAGGTTGCGCAAGAAGCCGCGCACGGGGTAGCAGTCTGTTCCCACCTTGCTGCGGCTTACCTTTGTCTAAATTCGGAGTTCCTGCTCCACCTCCGCCCCCCCCCGAGTCGCTCGCCTCGCCCCAGGCTGCTGGCTTGGGCGAGAGCTTCGAGACCTACAGCGGTAATTGTTGGCCGACGTTGCGTGAGAGGTTATGCTCGACGTCGGCGCTCGCCCTGTTTGTCGGCGCAGGAAATCGGGGCCCTCGAGGAACGCGAGGGAGAAAGAGCGGCCTCAGCGGCCAGTTTGGGGTGGAACATGTTGCGCCCCCCCCCCCCCCTCCCCCGCTGGCGAGTCTGGGAGGCCCCGATCGTCCGCGCGCACATTGGCCTGCGGCGGCCGTCGGACGTTCCTAGGATCGTTGCCCAGGGACGAATCATCCATGCGATTGTTGACTTACCTGGGTGGCCGCCACTTCATGCGTTTTCGTGTTATTTCAAGCCAGGGACTGGTTTGCGCGCGCCCAATCTCTCCTTTCTGAGGCAGCTAGGAGAGAGGCTTACTGGGAAACAGATGTACGTTGTGGGGGGAGACTGGCATATTGGCCCCCACCTGGTCGATTCCACGGGACTGGCTCGCAGGGTTGAAGGTGCCTTTTTCGTGCCAGCGCAGAAGACGTGTCTGTCCCCAGGAAGCCTCACCACGATCGACTACTTGTTAGCTAGCACGTGCTTTGCACGTGCCTGTGATAAGGTTGAGGCTGACATGTCCTGGACTCATCGCCCCCATAGGCCCGTTTGCCTCACGCTGCGTTGCGATGCTTTTCGGCGCCATCAGCTGATGCATCGGTCGCATCAGAGACTCCAGACGGAGCTTCCGTTTGGACCGACCCCCCGACCCCAGGACTGGACCCTCAGCCGCATCATTGTTGAGGGCGTTGCTGCCGCGGCCCTCGCTCGCCCCATCGGCGAGGCGCGGGGGCTTTTCATTGCTGCCTGGAAGTATTTTGCCAAACAGCTCGAGCTCGAGCTCGAGTCTTTCACGGGCGTTGAGGTTAAACGCAAAGGACACGCAGGGGACCTCCTGAGAGCTCGCTGGGTTCCGATTGTTGCCGAACCCAAGGCCTGTCGCACCCGAGAGCAGCGCTTTGGGTGGACTTGGTTGGCCCAACATTTGTCGGAGACCATTGGTGTTTCGCTTCGGCTTCGTAGGGCGACCCAGGGCCCCGACCCCACGGACCAAGCTCAGCCTCAGCAGTTGCTTGAGGACGCGAGCCACCAGATCCAACGGCTTCTCATGTTACCATGCCCTGGTGAAGGGCAGAATGATGGCCTCGACGCGACCCGCGCTCCGGCGCGCAACCTGGCTCGTTCCTTTGTGCTCGATGACGGCCTCGACGGCTGGGTTGAGCAGCGTCGGGAGTTTCTGTCGTCGCGGGGCGACGACCTGAGCGAGGCGCGCAAGGCCGTCGCGAAGGTCCAGCAGGACAGTTGGGACCAATGGCAGGAGAAGGCCCTCTCGGGGGGGTGCACGGGCCATGCATAGGCTCACGGAACTCAAGCAGAAGTGGACCCCGACCGTCGTGCAAAAACATCATGGTTGTTTCTCCAACTCCCCCCAAGAGCTGCTGCAGGCGGACGGCAAATCCCTGTCTGGGTTTTGGCATGCGTCTCGCATTTCCCCCCGAGGTGCGCGCCCCAGATCGGGCTCACCTCCCTAGGCCGACGGCGGCTGAGATCAGGAGTGCGTCCAGCA